AAGGAAAGGGTCCATAAAAAGGAATGGTTTTCACATGCCCTTTCAAAAGAAAAGCTCGTCTCGAGCTGGAGAATAAGTGGCAAGCAAAGTAAGCTTGCAAATTGGATTATCAAACTAATGTGCGGGTAGGGCTTCCGCAGTCATTTGGAAAGGCGATGAGTGAGATGTTGACGGTATCACTACATGGGATGGCTGGACTTGATGAGAGCCGAGGTTATCGATAAGAGGAATGAGCTCAAGGATTGAATAATGATTGAAATGGGGTAAGTGGCTTTTGCATAAGCCTAGAAATCAAAAATAAAAGTACCAAGTTGTCGCATGTGCAATAGATTGGTAGTAAACACGTAGGATGTATGCAATGGAGATGTTAAATGCAACGATTGTAAATGTGAAAAATGGTGGTAACACCGAACGAATGATCAAAACTTTATCGTTTCGAGCATCCTTCGTTACAAGCCTTTAAGAGAATTGTAATGGCAACAAAAAATGAAATTTTTAGAGTACGGGAACTATCGTGTAGGCAAAAGAAGGAACACTTCCTTAATGTTGCTTACAAGGGCGTAGGAGAAATTTTGCCTGAAAATCTTCTCCGAGCCGCCAATCGAGGAAGTCTTTCTTGTCATAGTGCGAACGCTCGCGGCAAACATACTCAGTGCCAGTAGCCGCTGCACAAATAAAAATAACGTGGGTTTGCTACCGGCATACAAAATATCTAGTCTTTTCAGACGCTCTGAACATCTGATAGCAGAAACCAATTCAATACAAAGCGAACACACTTGTAATGAGGCATATACAGGACAAGTACACAAAAATAGATCAAAATTCTACAAGAGAGTGAAATTGCCTTTGAACAGCCTTTCCTCATGGGTTGTATCATCTTTCACCTTACATCCGCTATCATATCTAAAAGGCTCTGCCATGGTATCCTGAATCAGTCAGTTCGCTCATCTCCCTGAAAGCTCTCACATAAGATAGAAGTATTAGTAATCTAAACTAGACTTTTCGAGTTCGGACGTCATGCTGTTAATTTTGCCACCAGCTAGCTGGTGAAAAAAAAATTAGCGAATTACCGAGGCGATGGTCAGATTTACTATTTTAGAATCTAGCACTGCGTTGATTTGATTTTTTTTGGAACAAGAACGTGAGAAGCGAGTAGGAAATTTTTATTTCTGCAACAAAAAACCAGGCTGCATAGGTGGAAAGTTTTCAAAAACTAGGATACCATCTACAGAGGAGTTTCAAAATGATTTTTGCATAAACGCGATTCTTTTTTTTCTAAAGGTGAATATGCCGAATAATCAGTCATGAGCGGCACCATTTCTAGTAGGAGTTCGCCATTACTTTTTCGGCTATTAATGTAAAGCAAGGACCGAAACGCTTTGAAAACTAGAACTACAGCCACACGATCCTTTATTCGGGTGAGCTAATCTGGAATCACTACCATACCCTCGATATATAGAGCCACGTCTGGTAACATTCACTTTGAGGGCTATGAGGGGACACAAACATTCACCCGGAAAAAGCAGAAGTCATCCGGGACTTCGCCCCGGATTTTATAATCCTGACTATATTGCATCGAATGTGTATGAAGCAAATACAGGAAAGAATATCTTTAGATTATCTTAGCCTTGTCGTGTCATGACGATCAGGATGATTTATAATTATGCAGAGTTTCGTTGAGACCCCGCGAAGATCTACGACTAGAGCCAAATGCCCCGTCGGCTCTGGTCTGTCTCCGCTGCTCGTCTGCGTCTCCGCGGGCTGCGCGCTACCTCGCTACTCCAAACGCGGGGTGCAGGGCATTTGGCTCTGGTACCCTTTCCTTCGCTGTTTCGAACCCATTTTTAACAGGCTATATATCACTTTGAAGCTCTTGATCTCTATTTTCACGCTGACGTCCCAGAATCACATTTTCTGACTTTATTGAGAACGGCAAAAACCTTGTTTTCGAAAATCTCTTGTTTTTCTCCTAATTTAGCTCTTTTCACGCGGTTTTTTCGTGCATTCTATAGATCTTGCTCCTGTTCATAATGCAGACAACCATCCAGCCCTTACCTTTCGATTATGGTGGAATTTTTTGCGAAAAATCGCAAAAAGTGCGTCTTTTATTACCTTGTTCTGTCTCAGTGCTTTCGCATCGATTTTTTTCCAGCTTGGGCGATTGTTGCTCAGAACAATAAGCGCAACAATCCAGACAACGTCCCAGGAAACAGGAACGTCAATGCGGGGGGTAAAAATTCAAAGGACGCATCAAAAATCAAAACCCCGTGTTGCGAATTGCTGGTCGTGGAGCGAAAACTTGCACTTTGGAAAGCCGCCAGATGGAAGAATTCAAACCTCATTGCAGCGTTTTTATCCGATTTTCAGCAGTTTCTTTTGCTTTTTATATCTGTTTTATGTCATTTTCTCTTTTCTGATCTTCTTCAAACAACCTTCACTATTTTTGACGTCAGATGTTCAAACAACCTTCACTTTTGAGGCCCTGTCTCTAGACTATCGAAGGTATGATCAATACTTTGCAGTGGCTTAAGTTGTTTTTTTTCTCAAAATGGCTTGTAGTGAGATTGGCCGTTATGATAGTCACTTGGAAACAATTTTGACTTTATAAGCCTTACAGCTCCACTTTCTTGCAAAATAGCACTCAAATTGTGTTCGAAATTTTAGAACAATAGGTCTCATTCTAAGAAGAAATGTCTCCATGCAAGTAAGACTTCTACAAATAATAAAATGGGTTCGCCGTTATGTTTAATTACGCGAGACTATCCACAAAAGTATTTAGGGTATACTTAAATGTTTTGTTGTTGACACTTCAAACTCCTTGTATGGTAATCCTTTTAACTGCCTTAGCTAATTCTATTTCTTTTGTAATGGTAAGAGTATAGGCTGCTGCATGACGAAGGCGCAAATACCTTCGGGCGCGAACGCGGCTTTATTAGCCGCAGAGCGCATGAGGTGCGGGATCTACAACGGTGAGGATACGCGCGCGTCGCGTTCGCGCACGCTCACCTAATATCGCCATTGCGCCTTCGTCATGCAGCAGCCTTTAGGTGATTCGAAAGAAAAAGCGGGAAATCTGTGTCTCTGATCTGTTACATATAATGGTCAGCAGAGAATGCATTTTCAGTTATCGGTTAGCACAGCGACGCAGATTCTTTCAAGCTGCTTTTGATAAAGAGTACTGTTTTCAAAAAAAATTTTTTTTTCACTCAGTTGGTACGGAATGGTTTCCTGTAGTTTTACAGGTGGAAAACTAGAGTTGCGAAATGAGAAGACGCGCAGGGTTTTCTTTCAAATGACAACTCGAGTTTGAAACACTACAAGTAAGAACAATGGTTTCTGAATTGTAATTTTTTTGTGACCATAGGTGCGATAAGGTGAACCCCTCCAGGGTGAAGGGGGTCTCGCAGCCCCTCAGGGTGAAGAGTGTTCACTTGGTAGAGAAATTATAAAATGTCGACCGGGAGGGGGTGGGGGGCCATGGTTTTCTCTCATCATTTTTCCTAGTCAGAGTTCACAATTTCAATTCCTTGCCAGCACTGGTTGCCTTTTTTCTGAAATGTGAACCGATGAGCTGCTGGATTAGCATACATTTATATTTCCGACCAGCACCTTGTATTTTCTTACGTTTCCTTTTCTCTTTTTTACATCACCCTACCTGTTTTTGAAATTACCATAGAAGATGTGCATGCGAGAATATTTGTTTCGAAAAGAGTTATACAATTTTTGGGAATTTTTTTTGAAAAACGAAATTTGTAATTTTTGTAGATGAACGGCAACGTCGGCTAGGGAAATGTTTTGGAACCAATTCGTCCTCCGCTTTTAGAGCATATATAGTTTGCCTGGAGCTGTTGAAAAAAGTACCTGGTGAAGGGTGTTAATAATGATTTCTGGAGATTTGGGAATGTTTGGGACAAAAAAATCCGTAACCTCTGAAAATGAGTAGATAGTACATGAAGATGATTACCATTGGAACCGCCTCGTCCTCTGCTTTCAGAATATATATATTAGATCGTTCCGAAACTAATGTCGCTTTTTTCGAATGAACACCACATTTCAAGGAATCAAGATATTCAAGAATTTCTGGAAGCGCTCGATGCAGCATTTTATCCTCTTTCTAATGGTTCTAATTTCATTGCATAATACTCAACGAGGTTTCGAAAAATTACCAAAATCTGCGACTCATGTTTTTTGCCATGGTCAAGTTCGGCTATTTTTCTAAATTTTTGTACCTACTCTCCGAAGAAGTGCAAGTAACAGCTAGATAGAGCAAACCCTATAGGACACAGAGTAATTTTTTACTTTTCCTTAGCTTGCTTCTTAGATTTCCGGAAACAATTTTTCAGTCTCTCAAATTCCATATTTGGTCGTTTCCAACCTCGCAGAACAACAATCGGCAAGCAGCTCGGCTGTCATTCGACGCAGCTTTTTTTGCTCTTTCTATCAGCTGTTTTTTGTTTCCGATTCATCAAGTTTGATATTTCGAATCCGTAAACCCTCACTTGCTTTGTAAAAATAATGCTAACTCATATTTAGTACCATCTTGGTAGTCTCAAACCGAATAATTATGATGTTTGATGCGATGGTGGCCGATATGGCCTGCCAAAATCCGATGGTTTTGTTAAAAAATCTTTTAAATAATTACGGCGAGATATGAGAAAAAGACAAAAGTAGTGCTGTATACTATAAGGTTTACTCTATCGAATCGTTACTTGAACTCCTTCTGAGGATTGATATGAAAGTTTTAAAAAATCGTGAAACTTGACCATCTAAAAGAGCATGGGTCGCAGATTTTGGTTATTTTCTGAAAGCTCATTGACTATTTTGCAACATTTTCATAACCGTTAGAAAGAGAATGAAATTATGCATGGAAAGCATTCAAGATCTTCTAAAAACCTTTGTTCTATCAAATGTGGCGCCCGTTTGAAAAAAGCGAAATTACTTTCGGAATGACCTAATAGAATAATGTAGCGATTGGTAGAGCTATTTCGAGAATGTCAGTTCTTCCATCTTTACTCCTCTTATTACACTAAATTATACAGACACCGGTAAGTATGCAAGAAAAAATCTGCACGTAACTACAGATACGCTCAATAAGCAATAACTTTGAGATGACGGTCGAAAAACCCTCCACTATGTTGTTTCTCCAGTTTTGTCATAGTGTTCACTAAGGCAGAGGCGGATTCTTCTATCTGTAAGAAAAAATTCGAAAAGTTTCAAAGCAGAAAGTTGAGAAGTGAAAACCACCCACTGTAATTTCAGCTATAATTCCATTCAGATTGCCCATTTCGGTTTGTACCCAACCTGGGCATAACTGTGCCACAATAATTTTGTCTTTAGCCAAGTCAATCGACATTGTTTTACCCATTTGATTGATACATGTCTAAATAAATGGTATAATATTGATTTTGCAAACAGGTGATAAAAATTTGAGTCGACTAACCTTACTAATTTTGTAAGCCAGAGCTCCTAAATGACCTGAACCATCATTGTTTCCGCTGATGGAAGCAAACCAACTGGATATATTTATGATAGCAGCTCGATCAACACCCAGATGATCATCGCTGACGTGAGCAGAGGCTTTTTTTAGAAGAGGTAAGAAAATCTGAAACTCTTCTACCTATTTGACTTACAATAGTTTTAATTAGGAGCGTCCACGATCACTCGAGTGCCAGCACCGTGCCAGCGCCCTGCAGCGCGATCGATCGCTCAATGCAGGGCACGTGCGTATGGGTTAAGCATTGGCCATGTGTGCTGCATTGGTCGATCGATCGCGCTGGCACCACACTGGCACTACGCTGGCACGTTCTGGCCCTTGCCACTTTAAACGCAGCCTAAGAAAGGATAAAATCAAAGAACAAACCTGACTGACAATGGTTGTACCCAGAAGATTTACATTCAAGCACTTCATCATTGTTTCTCTGGAGATTGGTCCATTGGTAGAATATGACGGTAAAACGCCTGCATTATTCACCAAGAGATTCAGACCCTTGTCTCCGACGATTTTCTCCGCCTAGAACTGTTGTGAAAGTAAGCGATATTTGTTTCCCAAGTTTAGGCCGATTTTTATTTTTCTATCCATTAAAAAATGATTTCTTGCGAGATGTTGGGCTACCGTCGCAGAAGAAATGTTGTTCAAATCAAACCTTTGGGTGCAAGTAAATTTGAAGAGACGTAAATAAAAAATCTATCAAAAATATGTAAGTCGATTAGTTTTTGTCACAAAAAAACCATGAGATCAATTCATAAGTGATGAAAAATGAAAAGATAGCTCCATACTCATATGTAATTTGTTCCTCCAAAATTGTTTAATTTTACAGTTGATGAATACCTGAGTATAAGCGTCCTTTATCGACTGGTCATTCTCGATATCAATTTGAACAATTTTCAAACGATCGTCTTTGATAGCGTTCAATTCCTAAATTTCAAAAATTGCTATAATAGCCTCATTTAAAAAGATTATTGACACGATGATTTGGTTTCAGGCAAGAATCGCAAATATTTTTTTGCAAAAAAATAATGCCAGGGAGGATAAAAAATTCTACGAGTTTTTCTAGAATCTATCATAAGAAAAAGTCGGAATCTTCCCCGAACATTATTTTTTCGTTATTTATCTCAGATCCAATGAGGCTGCGTCTGAACTTATATGTGCCACTGCCGTGTCAGTGCCGCGCGCGTATTGATCGATCGGCGGCGCAAGCGTCGGCAACGCTAGACGCTATCTAAGTACCAGGTTTGAATGGGAATGTACCTTGGCGTCTTTGGGACTCAGTGCTCCTGCGATGACATGTTCCACGGATTTGATTTTGAGAAACTCCTGCACCAAACCGAATCCAATCCCTCTGTCTGTCCCAGTAATAAACACGGATGCTGGATAAACCATATCGGATGATAACAACTGAATGATCTGTCCCTGCTGTGTTTGGATGGAAGCAAGAACAGTAAAAATTTACACTTTGAGCTTCGACGTTGCTCGCACGATGAACATCATAAAGAAATATCGGAAAATAAAAAAAAACTAAACCTGCGGTTATCGTAAAGACAAACAATAACATTCTGATTGTAGAAGGTTTCTATATGGAAATTTCAATAGTTACGATAAGTAAATGTCATGTGCTATGGAAACTGAAGGCAACAATGCGCAGAATGTTGTCTTGAGAAAAAAAGTACTAGATGAGCTATTTTTCTGCTCAATATAGCAGATCTCATCAAAGTCCTCAGTCGCCCACAGCGGAAAGCTTTCTTGGTCAAAATTCAACTCAGTTCCTTCCTCAGTTTCCCATCTTACTTGCAAAAACGTTTTGACGATAAGAATCGGCGAAGATTGGTTCCACTAGAAACTACCAAACGATGAATAAAGGCTGGATTAGAATGAGCAAGTGCTTTTAACAAAAACAAAACCGAAAAAAAGCGCATAATAAGATTATTGGCGTACAGGTGGAAAAATGGCTCCAAAAATATGCTCGTAATGAAAGATAGTCAAAATAAAAAAATGCCTCTGATTGGGCAATGTCAAGTGAGAAAAGACAATCAATAAAGAAGAAAATTTATTGCAATTAAACGTAAAAACATGTCATTTACAATGAGATGAATGGGAAGTTCTAAAATAGTTTATTTGCCATTTGATACACTTATTATGCACGAACATGATGATTAGTAGAAACGAAAAACGAAAAGAGTAAGTTGGAGTGCGGCTCATTACAACTGATGTTCTGCTATGCCATAAAGTTTTTTTATCGACTACACCAAAAAGATGTCAACATCGACCTGCTTGGTCTACAAGAAGTGTATTATGAAACGTTCCAGCTAAGGATCAAAATAGTTAAAAAATGTTATAAAAGAAGCCTAGTAATGTTACGTACGAAACGCTCTGGATTTTCTTACAAAAAATTTTCAGATTATCAAAGATTCGGCGAATCGACTTATGACATTTGACGCCCATTTGACGCGCATACATAGATACATTTTTGATCAAATTTTCGTTGTTTGAAAAAATTGGGCTTCGATACAGACTCCACACTTTTGTCATAAGCGATGGAGGGAGAGGGGGGGGGAAGGAGATAAGTCGATTTAGCCTTGTTTGAGAACGTAAAAATTTCAAAGACTAACTTTGGGTTCATCGAAAATTTTTGCGTTTTTTGAAGCCTGTTAGGTAACTCAATCAGGGAGATATTGTTCGAGAGGGGAATTTACCATAAAGTGTGCCAAAACGACGTGCAGAGCGTTAAGAAGTTTTTTTACAGCTCTTACACTTCATTATGGGAACCGGACCAAGAAAGAAAAGATTTGAAACGTTTTTCAGGACCACAAATTAGGCCTCAATGTGATGCTTCATAGCCAGGTGATGCAAGATGTGAACTATTCAATGTTTTACTATGAAAGTGTAAAATTAGAGACACTGATATGGAGGAGTGCAAAAATTTTGCAGTAAAAACCTCCAAATTAGTAAGGAACGGCGTTGAGATGACGATCGTAAAATCCGCCACTGTGTTGTTTTTGCAGCTTTGACATTGAGTCGACCAATGAAGTAGCAGACTCAGTTGGCTAAAAAGAGACAAATTTGTTTTTCATGCAGTGTGTAGTATTTTTTATTCAAAATTCACTCACAGTGATAGCAGCATTTCGTCCACCCATGTCAGTCTGTACCCAACCCGGATGGAACTGCGTCACAATTATTCTATCACCGGCCAAATCAACAGCCATCGTTTTGCCGAGCTGATTGACACCCGCCTTAAATGTTCGGCTCAAAACAAAGATGGAAAATCAAAATTTCAAAAACCCAACATTCCCACCTTACTAATTTTGTAGGCAAGAGCACCTATAGAACCTGACCCGTAGTAGTTGTGGCTGATGGAGCCGGAGCCACTAGATATATTTATGATTGCAGCTCGATCGATACCCTGATGATTATTGGAAACTCGGGCAGAAGCTTTTTTCAGAAGAGGTAGGAAAGTCTGAAATCAATTGGCTTCCTCTAAGGCTGCGTCCACAATCGTCCGTGTGCCAGCATCGCGCTCCCGTCGATGCTCCGCTCACATCCGTGCGGATCGATCGACGGCGTTGGCACGGCGCTGGCACTACGCTGGCTCTCGCGACTCTGGATGCAGCGTGGCGGATCGAGGGAGCGACCCAAGAATGGGCAAAATTTAAAATCTTTTAATCCACTGGTATGTAAAAATTGTTATTGACTTGTTTATACTTGTAAATAATCAAAATATTTCCCCAAATTACCTAAAAATTCAAATTAGCCTTGTAGAAAATTTTTTGGGAGTGTAGCTGCCGCCATAATAAAAGAACAAACCTGACTTACAATGGTCGTACCCAGCGTGTTTACATTGATGCATTTTGCCAATGTTCGCCTGGAAATTGGTCCATTGGTAGAGTACGACGACATAACACCTGCATTATTTACTAGGAGATTCAATCCACGATCTCCTACAACGTTCTCCACCTAAATCTACTTCGAAACCGTGGGTTTTTACTGCGTTTGATACTAATCAATTATCAACCAAGAGAGCTAGTAATACCTGAGCGTAAGCATTCTTGATTAGCTGGTCATTTTCAAGGTCAATTCTTACGATTTTTAGTCGATCGTCACTGATGGCCTTCAAGTCCTAAACAGAAAATAGTCTGCAGCTTTCATGGAAAGTGTAGTGAACTTGCGTTGCCAACAAGTTGCGCTTAAAAAATGACCATTGAATGCAATACTTGAATTCCTGCGATCGATAGCCACTTGGCGTTGCAAAAGCAATAATCTTTTAAGCATACTCGTTCTTCGTACTGCCCCAGCACGACTTTTTTACTTTAGGCACGACTCGCAAACCCAAGTATTTATTGATACATCACGCTAGCATAGAACCCATACTCAAGCAATACAACTAAGCTGCTCCCAGCCAGGGCTCGGCACAGGTGGCTTACAAGGCAAGCTAGATATCGTTTTGGAATAAAAAGCAAAGGGGAAATCGATTAAGCGGAAACCACAGCCCCGCCCGGGAGACGGTCAAGAGGCGCGATTTCTCCGCCTGTCACCAACTCAAAACTTCAGTTTAGTGCTACGCAAGTCTTCAAGATACCAAATAAAGTGCATTAGCTTTTATCTGTCTATGGTTACCATTCGCTGAATTTAAGGGGTTTTGCTGAAAAACGGACCGAAATACTCACGAATTTGTTCCTAACTGCATTTTCATGGGTTGGTTTTTGATCTTCAATTTTGCTGTTTCGAATTGATTCTAAGGTAGCAAGAATGCGGAATCCATGCAACATCTAATATATCTCCTTCCAACATTTAAATACTTTTAGAATGTTGTAAAACACTTATTATGCCCCATTTGATGTCCATCTGGCAATAAAAATCCGCCTCTCGACATACACCCACCCGCCCTACCCCCCCCCCCCCCCCACACAATCGCCTTCTTCCTTTGGGTCACTTTTCATCTTCTATAGAGGACGCAAATTGTCATTTTTGCCTTATCGATCCCATTACTGCAAAAACCAAAAATCTTCCGTTCAACAACTTCGCAGGGTAAGCGCGCGAGTTCAAACTTGCCCCGAAATAAACAAAGGACATTGTTTACAGCGAAGAGGAAATGAAATGACACCAAAATTAATGCATAGATGAGCAGAAGGGAGTTAGAACTATGTGCAAAAAATTATGAAAAAATTATTTTGAAGGCGTTTTTGGGGATTAGGTGGCTTTACAGCCACCTGAGGTGGCTGTAAAAAGAGAAAGTCATAAATTTCCCTTCCTTTACATAATTTTTTCAAATGTTTGCCATAAAAACATTCTACATCAAAAACCCTATAAATGAGTTATCTCTCTCGGAACCCTCTCTTTCCCCATAGTTACAGCCCTCCAAATATTTTGTATGGCGGCGGAAAGCCTGCTCTAAGCGCGCAAGGGTACGCGCCGGACACAGCATGCCACCATTTCGGAGGATACAGACATTTCCAGTTCTTTTCCGTCTGTTCAATGTTTTCTCTATGTTTTGTTCCAAAATTTCTCGTTATTCGACTTTATCCTTTCATGTTCGCGTCATTGGTGATGTCGTGTTTTTGTGGCGAAGTCTACATGGGCTTCATTTTTGAAAATTTGAAAAAGCCACCTCACGCCGAGCCCTGCTCCTAGGTACTTGGTTTACCATTCCCAGTAGAGGACCAAAACTTACCAGGTACTACCTGTCAGGAATGCAGACCAGATTTTCCATCTTATGAGCTCTTATTCTCTCCCACCTCCCCTTTATGAATTCTTGGTTCTCTCAAACATAAAGATAAAAACGACGTCCTCATCCGCTATGAGAATGATGGCGGCTATGTTGTCAGATCAATCATGGATAAGGGGTTCATAACAGTTATTGTCGACCTTGTGGAAACCATCGGCATCAAATTAATCTGATTATACTCAAACTCTTCATATTTTATATTTTATATCCAAATCACTCAGTTGGTCCAGCAATATGTTATCTTTATCGCAAACTTCATGTCTTTCATACGCTTTAGGCGCTCCAAATCAAAATTTCAAAGTGTTATTCATACATGAAACACAACAGTAACAAAAAATCATCACGTCATCCCAAGCTCAGTCCAGACGACTACATGAAAAGTAGTGTAGCGATTATTTAAAAAGCTTGCATAACATGTCTTGGGATTGCATATAATCTTGCGCTTGCATGGACTACATGGGAAGCACCCATGCCCCGCGTTCGCGAGCAAGGAACGATCTTAATATATTTATAAGAGCAAACGGGAAGTTCGGCTGGCAGGTATACTGGCAAGCCCCGCCCAACATGGTTTGCTGGGGAAAATCCTGAGCTCCGAGGATAATTAGAAAGTTTGCAAATTAAGTAAGCGTCAGTCAGAGTTAGCGAGCTGTTTCGAACTAGTCATAAGTTGTCTGCTGTCATGCTCTATTCAGTGGTGGTTGAAATAAGCTTCTAGCCTCATTCGTTAGAAATTTCTAGAGCTTCAAACAACCGCAATCAAAATCAGAATTTCATTGCACTTGCTTTTTTTGGCCAGAATTTCAGCGCGAGTGAACGCATTCTCTTGAAAATTTAACTGCTGCGTGTAGTAGAATTTTTCTACATTATGCACATTTTGCTGTTTTCTCAGAAATTATTTGGATTGAAATTTCGGCGCCTCAACATGAGTGATGGTTTTGATCATTCTGTGGCCCATAGATTTCCTTTGAAAAAGGCAATCGCCAAAGTTTCGCTCATTTCTGTAAGCGTAAGAGTGGGCCTCCTGTTGACAGTTTTTGCAGAAATGTGGAAGCTGTTCAGTACACAGAAAATCAAAAATCTCCATATTTTGGGATTTTGAGGGCTACGAAAAAATGTCGGAAAAAACGGGCAATTTTGAATATTATTTTTTCACTTTCGCGAATCTTCTTTGTTTGAGCTCCTTTCAACTTTTTTTCGTACTACTGGCTTGCGGCTACAAGACAGTCAACTTTTCATTTAAACCGACAAATCTTGAAGGAGGTTATGATCACTTAAAAACGAGGTTTCCGAAAAAAAATTTTTTTGCTTATCAATCCATATTTTTCCACCGTTTTGCGATGTTAGCACAAATTAGTATGCGCTGTATAGAGAGAAGTTTGGTGCCTCTGATGGACTTGACCGCACTGAAAAATACGGATTTTTTAGAAAGTTATAGCACGTCAAAATGGGAACTCGCTGGAATAACAAGCCTAGCAAAGCAGAGAAAAAAGGAGAATGAAAAGTGGAACTTGTTGGACACATGCGCTTAATAAGAATCAGAAGTGTGAGAAGTGCACAAGACTGGCGAGAAAGCTTGCAAAAATCTGGCAGTAGAATTCACCTTAGCACCATCGGGATTCCTTACGCCAGCGAAGACATGTTGCACTACAGTGATTTTGAGAAATGCTTGCACTAGAGCAAACCCGATACCCCTGTTCGCTCCTGTGATGAAGACTGATGCTGGATAGACCATCTAGAATTCTAAGACATCTAGAATTCTACCAACTGAAGGATCTGTTGTTGTTATGTTTGGATGAATTGAAGCACTTACGATACAATTTTTTACATTTCAAAGTCGTTTGCCACGTTGGACGCAAAAAAGGATTACTGAACTTTAGGAAAGATAAAACTCCGTTTATTGTAAAGGCAAGCAATTTGTATTATTTCGACTGCAGAGAATTTCATACGGAAATTGAGAAAATTATGATAAGGTAAATTGCTCAAAAAAATACCACGAAAACCGCAAGTAACAATGCACATAATCAAAAAGTTTGAATAAGCTCCATTTCTGAATGTAGGAAGGACTTCTTCAAAGTCGCAAGGCCACTTCCACAACTTACTACAGAAACAATCTTTCCAGCCTTCAAAGCTATGTAGCAATTTGCAATTTTACGCTTAACATAGTGTTCTTTGTTTTCACCAATCAGTGATACATTTTGCGCTCTGTGGACATTTTTTGCGCGTTTATCGCAAAAATGTTGTCACCTTTACAAGCATGGCATTTTTTTCGCGTAGATGTTGTTCTCATTTCGGTGACACTTCATTGATCATCAGATATGCTAGATCGTGCCCAAACTACATATCTAGCTGTGAGTGTCGAGCGCAAATATCGCGTAGAATATGTTCCACTTTTAAAAGTATCCTAACCATACATTTAGGAGTTCTGGTATGACAGAAACAACGGGAAGCTTTGTTATTTGCGATTCAACACGCTTTTTTCCTCAGGTTCACAGCTTATTTGCAAAAGGAACACTTTGGAGAAGATTGGCGAGGATGGATTCCACGAAAATATAGAAACTGACCAAAATGGCAAAATGACGTGTTATGGCTAGAAAGTATTCAGAAACCGCACAATTTAATCAGTAACGCACTCAGAGGAAACCAGATATAGCTTCAAAAAATGTTAAAGTTGAAAGTTAGGCAAAACAGAAAGATGTACTTGATTTGGTGTACACCAATATCAGAAAAGACAATCAATGAAGAAACCATAATTTATTGCATTAAAGCATAGAAACGTGCACCTTAAATTCCGCAGGAATATAATGATCCGTAGAATGAGAAACAAGAGTAAGTTGAAGCACTGCTTCTAACAGTCAATGACTGCTATGCTGTAAAATTTTATTTTGATTACACCAAAAAGGTGTTTACATCGAATTGGGCCTTTGATCTACACATACTGTTTCATCGAAAATACCCTATTTTCAGGTGTGTAAGCAACACTTTTTCACAATATTACTTCTTCAGCCACCGTCCGGCTGTCTTACAGTAATCCGAATTTGGCGTTAAATATGTCCACTGCACAAGTCACGTATTCGACGTCTTTTCTCCAACGGCGTCACCTCAATTTGAAGGAATTCAAGTGTTGCAAGTCGAAATTTAGCAAAGTGTTGGGCGATTTTCTGATGAGAAAACTAATCTCGAATGATCCTTGACTTTGTGTGTACCATATTTAGTCGTCAGGCTCGATGGAAGCAGTGTGCAGTGTGCTGACAAGGAGAATAGTTGGTGGCCGTGGCCATGCGCCTTTGTGTCTGATTCAGAATCCATTTCGCTTATTTGCGAAACTATTCTTAAAATGAAGTTACACCTTTTTCAAGCGTAAGTACACTGATGAGGGTCGGCATAATCGGTATAGCTTAAGGTCTTTCTTTTTTAGACAAAGTCGCGTCTGGCGGAACGTTGAGCATAAATTTGTAATCATCAAAGATGCGTCCTATGGGTATTCTATGGTCACGGTCTCGATACTCTATTTAAGTGAAAGGGCGATGTCAGACATGACTAACCTAAAGATTGCATTGGTTCCACGAAAATTCCATCACACCACCGGTATCCTACGATTCGAGGAAATGCTAAAGTTTGCTCAAATGTAGTCTCATCCGTTTGGATGAATTGTAACTGACAGTTGCAGGAAATAATAAGCACAATTTATTGATATGACATCATATACAGTAGCCATAGCCAAAAATAACTACGTATATGCTTTTTCGCATAAAAAATATTCGTAATATTTCTTTTGATAGAAACAATGGTAACGCAATGTTGAATATCGAAACGTTGCGTACAAGCGAGTCAAGCAGGTCTCTAAAGAATGAAACTTATGATTTGTTTCTTTTCATTTTAAAGGTTTACCATCATACGTGCTCAGTATAACGCATCAGTTTCATATCTTTGAATCACTTATGAAAATCACGACCATTGTGTAGTGTACACTCATCCTTCTTTGGTGATCTTTGCATTTCTGTCATGTAAGTTGAACCGTTTTCTACTAGTGAGCAACTCACAGAATGTGGCTCACTGAGCCTTATGGCGCTGAGCAAAAGGCGTGGAGCTGAATTTCCTAATCATCTGAAGTGAGAATACAGTCTAAGTGCCTGTATTCTCACACTGTGGGAAGCTGGCGTTCGGAGAAAGGGGGCTTTCTTTTCCGATGACTTCTTGTTTCTTGTTCATATGTACGTTCTCATCGTACTGAGTTGGACGCAAAAAAATCATTAGAGTAAGTTTCAAAAGCGCGAACATTTTGTACAACAACCTTGCCATTACCTCCTCTCAACAAAAGGGTACTCCAAAACAAAATTCGCTTTTAAGTTAGCTGAAGTTTATACCGAACAAATCCCACGCAGAGGTGAACATAGATTATGCACATGCCAGTGGCGGTCCGAGAAATTTTTTTCGGGGGGGGGGGGCGCGACAAAAAATTTTTTCTAAAGAAGGTGCGCGTTAGTCACGCACTCCGAAAAAATTTTTGGGGTGCTTCTCAAAATTTTTACGGGTCCCCGACCCCTAAAATCTGGAAAAAGGGGCGTGGCGTCAGCCACGCCCCCGAAAAAATTTTTTTATAAGGCTAAAATGAATTTTTAAGAAATTTTAAAAATTATTTTGATTATTTTCAAGTGCAAACAAGTCGTTTGCACATTTTTACAACCCATATAGGTAAGTTTAAAAAATTTCGCGACCGATTCTCGGGGGGGGGGGGCGCGCGCCCCCCCCCCCCCGTCCCCCCCTCGGTCCGCCACTGGCACATGCATATAATACGTGGATATGTAATGTACGACACGGACATCATGATGTTCAAAAAAACTATGCAGGAAAGGCTTCAGGACATGCCATTCGGAAAGCTGATTGACGGCCTCCTCTGTTCCAAACAAAATCTCGTGTGTGCGAATGTGATTAAACATTAGACTTTCCCTTAGAAAGCGCTTTCACACACTTTCTTCGTCTTGAAAGTCATCATTGCAGCAGCTTAATGCTTGCCGGTTGAATAACCAAAGACGCCAGCTCTTGGGAGACCTTAATCCTGTGTCTGCAATTCCTGCATTCCTGTTACTGGAATTCGCCGAGCGCCCAGTAGTGCGGCACATAGGAAGTCTAGGAAACACAGGTGTTGCATGACTTACAGGAATCGCGGGAATCACCTCCTGGAATCGTATGGCTGGCCCCTTGAAGGGAGGCGTCGAATGCGTGACTTGTGCAGTAGACATATTTTACGACAAGTTTGGGTTACTATAAGACAGCCGGACGGTGGGTGAAGAAGTAATATTGTCACTTTTTCAAATTTTCCCACGAGCTGCTCAGCCGCTTTATTGTGTTTCGAGAAATGATGCTTGCGCCGCACGATTCTTTCAGGCAATACGTGACATGTGTAGGGTCCTTTGTTGCGAGGCCCCTCAGACAATCGACGGGACCCCTCCGCCGGACAGTCCGAAACTGCCAGAGTCGCGCCGGACCCAGTTGACCAATGAGAGAGGGGCAAATGGGCGGTCCATCGCGGTGACATCACTGGCAGGCAAGTGGGAGGCTTCTCCGGCCCTGGTGCAAAGGTCCGCCATTTCTCCGGCGCGACTCTGCCAGATTTGGCGGACTCCGCGCCGGAGAAAGTTGCCCGGCGCGAGTCCGCCAAATTTGGAAGAGCCGCGCCGGAGAAAATGGGAGGGGTCCGGAGCAGAAATGGGAGGCCTCCGGAGCAGAAAATGGGAGGTATCCGGAGCAGAAAATGGGAGGTATCCGGAGCAGAAAATGGGAGGTATCCGCCGGAGAAATGGGAGGGCTCCGCCGGGCAAATGGAAGGGCTCCGCCGGACAAATGGGAGACCCACCGCTGGGGAAACGCCGCGACCCTGCCATTTCTCCGGCGGAGGGGTCCTATCCGCTGTCTGAGCCTTTAATGTGTTCGGGCTGGTCGATGTAAGCTAGGACCATCCAGCGGCTTACACACCTGAAAACTGGGTACCAAAAATGCTATCAATACGTTCACATCACAAGAAGAAGTGTGATATGTGTTGATCACACTTTATAGCATAACTAGCTGACATCCTCGGCCTTATCCAGACAGTGATAACAGTATTCTTATGGTCAAACGTTGTCCAAGCTACTATTATGAGGTTGAGACGCTCTATATCTTTTTAGAATAAAATTTTGAGATGATAAAAAATACGACAAATCTGGCAAGACCTTAATTGACGCTCCCTCAAAAAAGTCTTTTGCTTGCCCAATTATTTTGTTGCTTGAAAAATGGACTCAAGTTTGGATTCTGTACCCTTACCATTAAGGATCAGATGATGCACACTATGAACGGGAGGTGAAGGGGGATAATTCGCCTCAACTCTGCCCAATAACATGAGAGTTTCAAAAGAGATTTTGTATATGCATCGATGATTTTGCGTGAACCTAATCAAGGAAGCATCTTTGAAAATAGTTGTTGTCAAAAAGTGCGTCAATAAACGATGTGCAGAGCGCTAGGAAGCTTTTCACAGTTCAGAAACCTCATCATGGAAATTCGAAACGAAAACAAAGTGGAAATTGAAAGCTTTTTTAGATGGCTTTGAATTGGAGCTTTAGTGTAATGCTCCTGCCGTAATGCAAGACGATGTGAACTATTCCTTGGCATTTTTGCAAGTGATCCTGTGCCAAACACTTTTTCACGGTGGATTCTGTATTGCCTGACGTTTCGACAACTATCGTCTTCTTCAGAAGCCTTCGATTCACCGCTGGTCAGTCAGCCTGCACGACTGTAACGGACATCAGTGAGTGATGACTCAGCGGTGGATCGAAGGCCTCCGAAGAAGACGATACTTGTCGAAACGTCAGGCAATAAAAATCCACCATAAAAACCTATTCGGCACAAAACCACTTACGAAAAACACGAAATGCCCAGGTTCAAAGAAGAGAGCACATAGAAACTCTTCCTAGGTATCTTACGAACGAATGACTACAATTAGAGACACTGTATGGAGAGCCAATATTTGCATTCAAAACCTCCTGCTTAGTAAGGAATGGCGTTGAGATGGCGATCGTAAAATCCGCCACTGTGTTGTTTTTGCAGCTTGGACATTGAGTCGACCAATGAAGTAGCAGACTCTGTTGGCTAAAAAAGAGACAAACCTGTTTTCCATGCAATCGCGAGAAAAATTAGTTTCAAAATCACTCACAGTGGTAGGAGCGTTTCGTCCACCCATGTCAGTTTGCACCCAACCAGGATGGAATTGCGTCACGATTATTTTATCACCGGCCAAATCGACAGCCATCGTTTTACCGAGCTGATTGACACCAGCCTTAAATGTTCGGCTCCAATAAAAACGGAAAATCAAAATCTAGAAGCCCAACATTCTTACCTTACTGATTTTGTAGGCAAGAGCACCTGAAGAACCTGACCCGTCGTGGTTCTGGCTGATGGAGCCGTAGCCACTAGATATATTTATGATTGCAGCTCGATCTATACCCTGGTGATCATCTGGAACTCGGGCAGAAGCTCTTTTCAGAAGAGGAAGGAAAGTCTGAAAACAGTTTGAATTTTTTCCTTTACGGCACTGCCTAAGGCTGCGTTCACAATCGTCCATGTGCATCGCGCTAGCGCCGATGCTCCGCCCACACCACCGTATGTATTGATCGACGGCGTTGACGTTGGCACGGCGCTGGCTCTCGCGACTCTGGATATAGCGGTGGCGGATTAAGGAGGGGGGGGGGGAAGACCCGAAAGTTGGTAGCGAAATTCTTAAAGCCATTTATATTCAAAAATGTTTAAGTGACTTGTTTATACTTGTAAATCAACATAATTTTCAAACCTAAAAGATCAGATTAGCCTCGTAAAATTTTTTCTATAAAAATTCTAAAAAATTTTTATTTTTTGGAGCGTGCTGCCGCCATAATAAAAGGACAAACCTGGCTGACAATGGTCGTACCCACTGTATTTACATTAATGCACTTTGCCAATGTTTCTCTGGAAATTGGTCCATTGGCAGAGTATGACGTCATTACACCTGCATTATTTACTAGAAGATTCAATCCACGGTCTCCGACAACCTTCTCCACCTAAATCTAATTCGAAACTTTGGGTTTTTACTGCATTGGATACTAATCAATTATTAACAAGAGAGCTAGTAAGTACCTGAGCATAAGCATTCTTGATTAACTGGTCATTCTCAAGGTCAATTCTTACGATTTTCAGTCTGTCGTCACTGATGGCCTTCAAGTCCTAAACCGAATATAGTCTGCAGCTTTTATGGATAATGTAGTGAACCGTTGCTAACAAGAATTGCGCGAAAAAGTGACATGGAACGCAATACTTATAATTCTAGATTTATAGTCTCTCGGAATTACAAGCGCAACAATCTTTCCCGCACAGTTGTTGTTGGTACTGTTCCAGCACGATTCTTTAGTTTAAACTCGACTTGCAAACACGAGTATTTATCAAGAAAACAAGGCGCGCTAGCATGGATTCCAAACTCAAGCAAAATAACTAAGCTCTTCTCCTAGAAACTTGCCTTAGCATTCTCAGTAGAGAAAAACTGTAAGATACTACGTATAGAGAAATACTGTAAGATCGTTTGCTGGCTAACGCGGGGGCATGGGTTCCATCTCTGTGGATATAACTCATCATTGACATTCGTAATATCCAGCAGTCTTCTTGCAAGCTAAGTCGTTATTCTTTAGTTTTATGAAGTCTGGGCCTGAAGCATATGATGTTCTGTTGTTATTCGTGCTTTGTGTAAAACTAACAATTACACTGTTTGTTTCTGTTTTTTTATGGTACGCCTTGAGCGTATTTAATGAAAATGAAAATGAAAATGAAAAACAACTTACCAGCACCTCACCTGAGGGATGCAGGCCAGCTTTCCCATCTTATGTGCTCTTGTCTCCCTCCCTCCCCTTATGAATCCTTGCTTTTCTCAAACGTAAAAATAAAAAACGACGCGTTAAATCTGCTAGAAGAATGCTGGCGTCTATGCTTTAATCACGAACAAGGGGTCAGAGCAGTTAATGCCGACTTTGAAGGAACGCATCAACATCAATTTTACTTGATTATACTCAAATTCCTGTATCCAATTCACACAGTTGGTTTAGCATTATGTTGTCTTTATCGCGAATTTCATTTCATTCGTACGCTCGAGGCGTTCCAAATCAAAAACGTCAAAGTGTTAGTCATACATGAAAAACAACAGTAACAAAAAAATCACCACGTCCTCCCAAGCCCAGTTCAGACGAATATATAAAAAGTAGTGTAGCAATGATGTAAAACAGCTTACATACATAACATGGTTTGGGGTTGAACATAATCTTGCTCTTGCATGGAATATATGGAAAAACACTCATGCCGCCGCGTTTGCCAGCAAGGAACGATCTATTATATATTCATAAAAGCAAACCGGAAGTTCGGTTGGCGGGTATACTGGCAAGCCCCGCCCAACTGGCCTGCTGGGGAGCATCCTGAGCTACGGAGATAACTAGAAAATTTGCAAATTAAGCAAGCGTCAGTCAAGTTAGCAAGCTGTTTCGAACTAGTCGTAAGTTGTCTGTTAGGCTGGGCTCGAAACTACATAGTTTATTGAGTTGATGCATAATTCCTGAGCCAAAATAGGTACAGACTGCAATAATCTAGAATAATCATATATTCCAAATAGGAAACGCTATATCATCAGATAGAGCAAACCTAGCTCTACAAAATGGTGCTTAAAGATTTGCAGCAGCTTTAATCCAAACGAAGATTGAAGCCAAAACGAAAAAGATCCAAGCGCTCTAAAAACCAAGAAAAAAATTGGAAGTCCAAAAAGAAAAATTCTTCAAAATTCTTAACTTGCTCATGCATTGTCATTTCGTATAAGACATTTCTCTATGCAATTGCTGTATTTTCTCTCAGCCAGAAATTGAGAAAACGAAGTTTTTCATGTTTTGGTCAAATTGGTGCTGAGATGTCCTAGCACTAGCAGTCGTATAGTATATGCCATTAGCAGTAGAACTTTACATTTTCAGCCTCCTAAAACACCTAGTTCACAAGAAATCACGGATCTAGCTCTCCTTATCCAAATTTTTCTTGCCAGCTGCTAAAAATTCTATATTTCTCGTGAACCAGCTGCTGTAAAAAGCTGAAAATTCACACTCACGCTTCTAAGGTCCTATAGTATACAGCTGTCTGTGCTAGGACATCTCAGCATTGTTTTGTAAAAAAAAAATGAAAAACTTTGTTATCTTCATTTCTTGCTGAGAGAAATACAGCAATTGTATAGAGAAATGTCTTATACGAAATGAAAGTGCATGAGCAAGTTAGAAATTTTGAAGAATTTTTCTAAACTGATTTTCAATTTTTCCTTGGTTTTTTGAAGTGCTTGGATGCACAGGTGCGATAAGGTGAAAATGACTCCTCCAGGGTGAACGGTATTTTACTTGGTAGAAAAATTATAAAATGTCAACGGGGGGGGGGGAAGAAGAGCCATCATTTTTCTTAGTCAAAGTTCATAATTTCCACCTTACCATCACTGTCTTTTTTTTGAAGTGCGAGCCGATATGCTGCTGGATTAGCACACAATTATATTTCTGACCAGCACCCTGTATTTTTTACATTTCCTTTTCCCCTTTTTACATCACCCTGCCTGTTTTTGGAATTACCATGGAAGATGTGCATGCGAGAACATTTTCGGAAAGAGTTAGAAATTTTTCAAGCATTTACGAATTTTTCAAAAAATTCGCAATTTCTGTAGATGAACAGCAACGTCAGCAAGGTAAATGTTCTTAACCACCTTGTCTGCTGCTTTTAGAGAATATATAGGCCCGTAGTAAACCCCCATTCATCTCAGGTGACTTGAGATGAATCATTCAGAAGAACTTCCTCGGGTGACCCTAATCCCGCCCACCTTTCCGTGCTTTAGGAAAGTCAGTCAGCAGTCAGAAGAATGTCTGGTCAAGTGTCACAGTCAGTTCACCAGAATGCCACTTATCCGAGGTTGAATCTTCTCGTTGGTTGCTTGAGCGTAGTCCAAGATTGGTACAGATTTATCGCACAGAACAGAATACAGACTAACGTTTCGGCGAACTCGCCTTCTTCAGAGTCTGAAAAGTCGAAGACACATAAGTAAACTATCCGATCAAACACCTCATCGACCACAAAGAGACCAACCCCTAGGAAAAACAACAGCCTCAACCAAAACCAAGATTAAGCTAGTGCTCACCTTAGAAGATGAAATAATAGGTGGGTGCAGACCACTTATGTCAAAAACTGTACCGCTTAACTTTTATAGTTGACTAGTGACCCGGTGCTGACCTGACCTCATTATTCAAAAGCCACAGAGGCTCTGATATGGTGACAGTTCGTTAGTAATGGCTAGGCACTCGTCCTTCCGGTTGATTTTTGGATTCTGAGCGGCTATCCAAAACGCTTCGAGTGTCTTGCGCGCTAGGATCTCGGGTTCACGCGCCAGGATTCGAACCTGCACTCCCACCTCCGCGTCGTCATGGCTGAGCCTGCGATGCATGCCTAACGGAGTAGCTACGTTGCATTTGCTGAGACCATCTAAGTGTTCTTTGATGCGCGTACACAGGGGGCGCCCCGTCTCGCCAATATACGTGTCTCCACATGATGTACACGTGATAAGGTAGACAACACCTGATATCATACAGTCTCCTGCCTTTCCAAACGGACAAATCACACAACTAGGAGTTGTACAAAGACGATCATACTCGCGGTTTCGCACTAGTTGCTGTTTAAGGTTTGCGGGCGGAATGTCGACGATCCTCACCATATCGTTAAGGTCCGCTTGATGGAGTAACCTGCGAACAGCCCTACTAAATTCTTCTGAGATGTATGGTAGACAGAACGAAATCCGATCGTCAGCTTCTGATCTAGGCGACATATGGTGGACTCGGTATCTGTAAGAGTGATGAGTTTCAGTGCTGTATCCATTGGATTTTGCTACTGATCTTGCGAGCTCTAGCGAGTGCATCTTCTCGTCTCTATCAGAAGAAACTCCCGTAGCCGTTCTAAACATGTTTCCTATGATGGACTTCTTTATTCGTGCAGGATGTGCTGAAGTTTGATGTACTAAGATGTTCTTGCTGCTCGGCTTTCGGTACCATCTGGTTTTGAAACGTCTGTCCGACAAACATAACTGCACGTTGAGGAACGGCAGCCATCCATCTTTGGGTTTTTCCCTCGTCATCTTGATGTTCGTGTCCTGGGCATTCATGGCGCGAGAACCCGAGATCCTAGCGCGCAAGACACTCGAAGCGTTTTGGATAGCCGCTCAGAATCCAAAAATCCAAAAGTCTGTATTCTGTTCTGTGCGATAAATCTGTACCAATCTTGGACTACTCTCAAGCAACCAACGAGAAGATTACAACAATGCCAAGATTTATGGATAGTCGAACATGGATGCTTATCCGAGGTTGAATTTTAGGGTGACCCGAAAGAAATAGTGTGCTTAAAAGGAGGATCAGACAAATTTCCCTAAAAGGAGGATCAGACAAATTTCCCGTAAGTTGCTCGTGAGTAACTTACGGGACAATCTAGCCCAAGTATTCTTGCGGTGCAAAATTCCCAAAATTGCACAATTTCGGCGGCCTAAATGGGAAAGGATCAATAAACAGCCGATAGCGGAGAGAAAAGCAAAAAGCAGGATTTCTTGGATTTCTTCTTTTTTTTCAGAGCTTGACTACGTTTTTCCTTTAAAAACTGCTTAAAACAAGGATTTCTTGATTTTTTCAAATTTGCTCTATGTTCAAAAATTTTCGTTTTCCATGAATTCCTCGACAAAATGTGATAGTTTTGTTTTATCCATCGTTTGCCTGGCGATATTTTTGACAGCGGTCGCCATCGATTTTTCTCGATAGCCGCCGCTATCAAAGATTGTCCTGCGGTGGCGCAAAAATGTGCCACTAGCCGGCTTTGAACCATAAACTTTCTCGTTGAAACCCATGCTCTTAGCCTCTCGACCACACCACTCAAGGGTTCATTTTTTGAGAACGCACAATTTGGGTCTGAAAAGATCCGAATCCGGATCGATGGCTCACCGGATGCCGGACTGAGGCGCTTTACGTTCAACGTAGGCCCGCCCCCCAGCCGAGTTGGGCTGAGAGGGGGTTTACTACGGGCCATAGTTTGCCTGGAGTCTGATGAAAAAGTGGCTGGTGAAGACTGTGGTGATTTCTGAATATTTACGAGTTTTTAGGATAGAAAAATCGTTAACTTCCGAAGATGAACATCTTATACGCCGTGATTGTCACCATTGAAACCATCTCGTTCTCTGCTTTCAGAAAATATACACATTGTCTGGGGTCCGTTGAAAAAAGTGCCTGGGTGAAGGGTGTCCTAGTGATTTCTGGAGATTTTCGAATTTCTAACATAGAAAAATTCATAACTTTTGCAGATGAACATCTTGTACGCCGAAATATTCACCGCTAGAACCGCCTTGTCCTCCGCTTTCAGAAAATATACACATTGTCTGGGGTCCGTTGAAAAAAGTGCCTGGGTGAAGGGTGTCCTAGTGATTTCTGGAGATTTTCGAGTTTCTAACATAGAAAAATTCATAACTTTTGCAGATGAACATCTTTTACGCCGAAATATTCACCGCTAGAACCGCCTTGTCCTCCGCTTTCAGAAAATATACACATTGTCTGGGGTCCATTAGAAAAAGTGCCGGGTGAACGGTGGGTGAGACTTTTATAATGGGAGCGCTCAAGTACAGGCTTTTTTACCATTGTAGAAAAGACGTCTACTTGAGCACTCCCATTATAAAAAAACCCACCCACCCTTCACCCGGCACTTTTCCTTACGGACTCAGGCAATGTATATATCAGCGGAGGATAAGACGGTTCCAACGGTGACTATCTAGGCGTAGATGTTCATCTGCAAAAGTTATGAATTTTTCTATGTTAAAAACTCGAATATCTTCAAAAATCACCAAGCACACCCTTCACCCAGGCACTTTTTTGAATGGATCTCAGACATGCTATATATTTTTTGAAAGCGGAGGACGAGGCGGTTCCGATGATGTCTATTTCCTTGCACCAGCTATTTATCTGCAGTAGTCACGGATTTTCTTATCCTAAAAACTCGAAAATTCCCAGAAATTACTAAGCACATCCTTCACCAGGCACTTTTTTGAAGGGATTTTGAACATGCTGTATATTTTCTGAGAGCGAAGAACGAGGCGGTTCCGATGATGTCTATTTCCTTGCACCAGCTATTTATCTGCAGTAGTCACGGATTTTCTTATCCTAAAAACTCGAAAATTCCCAGAAATTACTAAGCACATCCTTCACCAGGCACTTTTTTGAAGGGATTTTGAACATGCTGTATATTTTCTGAGAGCGAAGAACGAGGCGGTTCTAATGGTGACCATTTTGCCGTGAATGATGTTCATCCACAAAAGTTATGAATTTTTTATGTCAAAAACTCGAAATTCTCCAGAAATCACTACGCACACCCGTCACCAAGCACTTTTTTCAACAGACTCCTCCTTTCCTATACATGAACGATTCACGTACAAATATCTCCTTTGCCTAAACCTTACCTCACTGTTAATTTTTTTCTCGGCTTTTGGTGAAGGGGGTCACCTTGGTCCCGGCTCAGGGGTGAAGAGGGGGTGAGAAAATTCTCACACTATGGCACCTTTGCTTGGATCTCTTTTGCTTTTGGCTTCAATCTTCGCTTGGATCGAAGCTGATGCAAAACTTTGAGCCCTATCTTGTAAAGCTAGGTTTGCTCTATCTAATGATGTATTGAGTCCTATTTGGGATATGGGATTATTCCGGATTATTGCGGTCTCCTATTTTGGTGCAGGAATTATGCATCAAGCTAATAGTTCAAGTTAGTAGAACAAGTCTAGCAAAGCAGAGAAAAAAGTAGAATGAAAAGGTAGAACTTGTTGGACACATGCGCTAATTAAGAGTTAGAAGTGCACAAGGCTGGCGAAGCTTGCAGAAATCAAGCAGAATAATTCACCTTAGCACCATCGGGATTCCTTACGCCAGCGAAGACATGTTGCACTACACTGATTTTGAGAAATGCTTGCACCAGAGCAAATCCGATGCCCCTGTTCGCTCCAGTGATGAATACTGATGCTGGATAGACCATCTAGAAATTCTACCAATTGAATGATCTGTTGTTGTTTCGTTTGAGTGTACCGAAGCAATAATGATATAATTTTTTACATTTGAAAGGTTGGCCACGATGGACGCAAAAAAAGAATTTCTGGATTATGTCAAGGATAAAACCGGCCACCGAAAAGGCAAGCAATTTGCATTATTTTAACTGCAGAAAATTTGTGCAGACGAAAATTGAGAAAATTACAAGGTAAAGTGCTAGAAAATAATGGAAAAGCAAGCAACAATGCGCGTAATCCTTGTCTCTGGAAAAATTTTGGATAAGCTCCATTTCTGAATAGTAGAAGGGACCTCTTCAGAGTCGCAAAGGCTTCTCCCGAACCTACCACAGATCAATCTTAGGATTCTTGAAAGCTAGCACTTTCAACGTTCGACATAGTGTCTTTTATTGGCCAATCAGTGATACATTGTGCGCTCTACGGATATTTTTGAGCGCCTATCGCAAGCAACAGTCGACATTTGCAAAGCTTGTTTTCGCGTAAATGTTGTTGTCATCTCAGTCGCACTTGTTAATCATCAGAGATCCTTAAACTACATATCTAACTGTAAGCGTCAAGCTGCCCACAAATATCGCATAAAACATTTTCTGCTTTTGAACGTATTCTAACCAGTATTTCCAGGAGTTCTGGTATGACAAAAACAACGGAAAGCTTTGTTATTTGCAATTCAACCCGGTTCCTTCCTCGGGTTCTTACTTGCAAAAGAAACGCTTTGGTAAGAATCGGCGAGGATGGATTGCATGAAAATGTAGAAACTGACCAAAAAGGCAGAATGACGTGTATTAGTTGAAAAGTATTTGAAAGTCACAATGATCAATGACGCACCAGAAGAAAACGAGATATATCTTCAAAAAATGTTCAAGTTGAAAGATAGACAAAACAGAAAAATGTACTTGATTTGGGATACACCAAAGTGATGAAGGACAATTAATGAAGAAAACATGATTTATTGCAATCAAACATAGAAACATGTCACTTCTTATGAGTTATTTTGCACGCATTTGATGATCAGTAGAACGAGAAAGGGCAAGAATAAGTTGAAGATACTTATAAGAGTCGATGTTCTGCTATGCCATAAAAATCTCGTTTTGGTTACACTAAAAGGATGTCAACCAAACTGGACTTTTTATCTCATATACAGCTTCATCGATAGTATTAGGGTGATCCAAAAGTAATGGGGCAGCTAGAGAATAAATGCAGTTTTCTCAAATAGAAAAGCTAATTGGAAGTCCAAGTTTTGGCAGATGTTAGTACATAACAAAACCTTCTGATCGAGGTCTATTGTTGGGCACTGTCACATGGCGTTAATTCTATAAGCGCTTAAAAGTGAAGCTCACCACTTCAAGTAATTTTGAACTTTGAGCAGCAACGCCGCAGTAAAACAAGTGAGCCTACCTGAGATACGTGCGCAGCAATGGGTGAGGGGACTGTCACCAAATCCACAATAGCTCGGTGGTCCCAAGGCTTTAGAACAGAAGATATAGCATCGGGTATCAGGAGACATATTACTTATTCTTTCATCAAGGTAATCAAATAAGCCCAAACTTAGCAGTTGCTTTATGATAGTGCTTTTTAAGCTCTATCCATACATATGCAAATTACTTTGATTTTTCTCATTTTCAAAAGATTGTGTCCCAAAACATGAATTTTAGCCTGAAAATCTGCGCCAAACACCGCACGTTTTCGAATAAAGTGCCTTTTTTGTATAAAATAATGTGCAATTTTTGAATATTCAAGTAATCATTAGAAAGAGTTTGGAAAGCTCTTTCGAATGGTATGCCATATGTCGAGGGACTATCAGGTGCAGCGGCCCAAATTCGAATGGCGTTCAAAAAAGTCTGTCTGACTTCTTTGGAGCGCCACTCGAAGAAATGTCGGTGAGGTTCTACAAGGTGCTGTCAAGATAACCTGCGAAGGTCACTTTATACAAAGGCGTTAAAAATGCTAGGCGTTCTTAGCTAATCAGAGAGAAATCTTGAAGAATGTTAAAAAAAATCAAGGTGCCCCATTACTTTTGGATCACCCTAATATAAAAATTTTATTTTGTTCACATTGCAAGAAAACGTGTGGTATATGTAGATTAATTTTATAGCATAATTAGGTGACATCACCCAGCCAGGTCTTAAAGGCAGCGTCCAGGCGGATTTGGACATTATAGGATACTATCATAATCGAGTACTAGGCCCCTATCTAAAACTATCGCGCAAATCCAACTTTCCACCCCTGCAAGAAAATCGGAGCAGAAAAGGGCGAACTTTGAAGACCACGCCCGCTCCCTCGCACCTACCGCCCCCTCAAACGAACTCTCCCCAGCCCTTGACGCGTTTTCACGTGGCAAACGCAATCGAACAGATAATGTCTACCTATTAATGCTTATTTTCGACAATAAGAGTATTAGGAGCACTCCCATGAAATTGTCTCAAAAATGGGGTTTTTGAGGAATTCATGCATTTTGAGTGCCACATTCGGAATCGGCGCCATAAAAGGCCTGAATCAGGCAAAAAAAATAGAATTTAAGATTCTGCCTGAACGCTGCCTTTATGGTTCACACTAATGTAAAGCTTCGTGTGTTAGAACAGATTAACCTGCTGCATGCCGCCTTGAGTCACCGCATCCTCCTCGTTGCGAACTAAAATTAAGCTTTACCGCTCATGCTTACATAACTATGGAAAATGATCGCTTAAATCACGACAAGCTTTCAGTTTCTCAAATGTAAATAATGTAAGCAAACAAATCAGAAATTCAATGTAAGGACCCAGTGAATCGCCGAGGAATTTAACCCATAATGACCGCCGGTATCGAACATATAGCTGTGCAAAGTCTCAGCTCAATCGGTGCACGCCCACTGCCGTCTTTAATAAATAGATGACCTGTGCAGACACACACACACACAGCTTTCTGCTTTATAAATATAGAGACTGATGACAGTATTCTTATGGTCAGACGCTGTTTATTGCAATTTTGCTTTGAGATTGACCCCAAGCTACTATCATAAAGTTTGAGACGCTCTATATCTTTTTAAAATAGAATTCTAAGATTATTAAAAATACGACAGATCTCGACCAAGGGGAGAATGAACATTTTATAAAGCTTAATCCAAAGAAAGACATCCGAACTGTCATGTTTCTGAAGAGGCAGTACAAAACTCTCAGAGCCTTCGTTACCACGAGCTCTATATGACTACTAAACTTTAGCCCACTCGAAACCAAAACTCCAAGGTCACGCACTTGATTAACTACCACCATAGACCCTAAGTCTTCATTTTCAATCTTCAAGGAATCGGGTCCCATAGGAAATAAGTGACTTTTACCAAAGTTTACTTTGAGTTTCCAAAGTTTAGTCCATCCAAACATTCTTTATTTATTCAAGGCCGCTTGGACCTCTTCTTTCCCATTTTTATTATAGATCGCTGTGACCTTAATGTCGTAGCAACAAGAAACGATCTTCGAAAGAGATACCGCACAAAGGTAAGGTAGTATTGATCGCGGATGCATTACAACCAAGATATACCTGGAAACTAGGAAGAATCGAAGAACTGGTACCAAACAAAGAGGGGGTAGTAAGGGAAGCAGTAGTCAAATTGCCTTCACAGAGGAAAATCCGCAGACCGATCAACCTGTTGATTCCTTTAGAACTAGAAAAAGAGGAACATAGAAGCCACCAACAGGAGATTGAAGAATTCGAGGAGGAAAAAGGACAACCGCAACCACCAGATACCAGTAACCAAAGGTACAATTTGAGACCAAGGACATCAAGGAAAATGAATGAAAAAATGAAAGCAGTCAACTTCAACATCACTACTGTTTTGACAATAATCTTAACATCATTGATAAGTGGGGTAAACGTAAAGGCAACAAATCAAGTAATTCGATGCACACAAGAAGGAGTAGAAATACAAATTCCGCAGATGACTCCCTATCAGATTTGCGTCGAAGACTTCTGCAAAACGCTGGAACACCCAAAGTTGCGGGAAATACTGAAATTACCTCCACAAATCATCCTACATGACTATGTAGTGCACTGGAAGATAGGTGAAAACTCAACGATAACAACAGTGGAAACGACATGCCCAGCAACATCCTGCTGCGCGAACATAGACTGTATAGTAGGCGTCGTCCGTCTAGTCACCTCTGTGTGATGTGTGCTACTGCACACAATTTTGAAATTCCGGATGAGGTGCTGGGCTCCCGCCGTGCCGTACTTGCACCAAGTGCGCATACGGCTAAAATTTGACGCCAAATTGCCCGATTTTCTTATTTTGACGTCTTTTCTTTGTTTCTAGCTGCAAGAGCGGCCTAGTTTTTAATGATTTGTTACCTTTATACTCGTGCATTGCCGTGTTAGATCAGATATCTCAAAATTTACTACTTCTGCTTCCAGGTAAGGGGGGAGATAAGCAATCTTGCAAGATTTTGAGGTAAGTCTGCTATCTTCACTACCATCGTATGTAGAAAGAGTAGAATATCTCTTAGGCAGTACGAGTTTTTGCTAAAGCAATCCACTATAGGCTCAGAGGAAGCTTTCTAAGAGGAACTCGGTACAAAACGGTTTCAGTAAGAAGGAAGTTGAAACTCGTATTGTCTAAGAGATATTTTATTATTTCTACATACGGCAATACCGAAAAACACACTTACTTTACAATCCTGCAAGATTGCCCATGTGCCTCCCCTACCTGAAAGCAGAAGTGATAAATTTCAAGATATCCGATCTAAAATGGCAATACACGAGTGTAAAGATAACAAATCATTGAGAACTAGACCATGCGTGCAGAAAAAATGCAGAAAAAAACGAAAAAAACATCAAAACAAGAAAATTGGGCAGTTTGGCGTCGAATTTTAGCCGTATGCGCACTTGGTGCAAGTACGGCACGGCGGGAGCCCAGCACCTCATCCGGAATTTCAAAATTGTGTGCAGTAACACACATCGCGCCGAGGTGACTAGACGGATGACGTCTACTATACATTATGCGCCA